GATGAGGGGTAAATATAATCCTAAAGTATAACTGTAAGGATAAATATGTCAAAAAAGTATAACGTTAAATATGATCCTAAAGTATAACGATAATAAATATATCAAAAAAGTATAACGAAGGGCAAATATAACCCTTTTTGAAGAGTATATGGTCAAATATAACGAGTCTATTTATTTTTTTCTGAAATAGGTGCTGCCATTTGGATGGGACATGTAGAAATTGTTAGCAGAGATAGAACAAATAGCTAGGAAGCAAGCCTAACACCAATGACATTTTTATTGTCAACCTTTCTCCTATAGTAAATTAATAAGCGAAGCTAATTAGTAATTTGTAACCTGTACTCAATGGGAGTACTATTGCGAAGAAATTTAAGTCGAGAATGTTATTATCCAATATAATAAGATCTACATGTCATATAACTATTGTAACATAGTAGTAGTAGTAAATAATGGAAATATGAAATCACAAATGGAGTTTGACGAGGGTAGTGTATATATAAATTTTACCCTTACTTGTGAAGGTAGAGAGGTATTTCTGATAGACCCTCGGCTCGAAGAACGTGTAATCATAGTAGTGTTAAATAGAAATACGGTAGTGGAGATGCCATGAAAAAGTAATAAGTAATAAAACAAGGTAATAAGATAACTGAAGCAAAAGAAATAATAAGTAGTAATAAAAATCTAAGAATAAGAAGATACAAGAATACGACTAATACTACTGATATTGAAACTTATTAATCTTTTATCTTAATTCTCGACCCCCCCCCATATCAAAACAAGAGCCACATTTATAAAATTTTGTTTTCTGATCTCACCTGTGTTTTTTCTTACTAGCTAGGGAGATGCTACCAATTGCGGAAGTAAATAGATTATGGGTGTGTTTGGTACGAAGGAAAATATTTTCCGGAAAATGGTTTTCAATTTTTCTATGTTTGGTTGGCTTAAATATTTTGGAAATCATTTTCCTTATCAACTCATTTTCCTCCAATTGGAGGAAAATGTTTTCTTTATTAAGAGAAGAGAAAACATTTTCCAAAACTCCTTCTCAACCTTCCCCACCCTCACCAACCCACCCCACCCCCTCTCTCCAAAAAAAGTTTTTTTTTTTTTTTTCCAAATTTCAGTTTTTCTGTTACCACCCACCCTACTACCCCCCCCCACCCCCTCCCGCAATAATTTTTTTTTTTATCTTATCTTTTTGCAATTTCAAATTTCCGTTTTTTTGTTTTTCTGCACCATCCCCCCCCTCCCCGGCACAAACTTTTTTTTTTTTTTGTAATTCCAAATTTCTACTTTTTTTATTTTTCTGCCTCCCCCCCCCACCCCACCCCACCCCCTCCCGAAAAAATGTTTTTTTAAATAAATTTTTCAGTTTTAGTTTTTTTTTATTTATCGGTTTAAAAGTTCAAAATTCTATAAGTTCCAAAGTTATGAGGTTCGGAGGTTTATGTGTTTGGAAGTTTACGAGTTCGAAATTCCGCGGTTTCGAAAGTTTAGCGGTTCGAAAGTCTATGAAATTTGTGGATTCGGAAGGTTGTTGGTTTGAAAGTTTATGGCTTCATGTTTATTATATCTAAATTATTTATGAATACTCTTGAGAAGTCATTTTCCTTAATTTGCGTACCAAACACCGGTAAATAAATAAGATTACTACTTGTTTTCCAAAAAAATATTTTCTTGAAAAATATTTTCAATGAAAAATATTTTCCGTTATACCAAACACACCCTATCTTTTTATTTTTTTCCTCTTCTTTTTCCGTAAGATTTGAAGTTTGCATGCCTATACAATTCTTAGGAATTAAATTCATCATACAACACTTGTTATTACTAATATCACTATTTCACGTGCTTGAAAATATTTTGCAAAAGCTTTTTAAATTTATATTTTATACATAATATAAAGGTGCTAAACGAATATTTGGATGTGACAATTAATTAATCTAGGAAGCTACAAAAATTAAAGTTGGAAAGTGAAATAAGTGCGATCTGGTCAAAGCAAATACTTAGAAAAGGACAGTGGAAGAATGTTATGAATTGTAATGACTACCGTCCAAATTCCAAAAAGTGTGACGCTAATGTGGAAACTGTGATATAGTGTAGCGTTTAATAGTCTGGATTTCTATATTTAATTATATGTTCAAACTAAATGACTAACACGATTTAAATAAATTATGAGTCTGAACAAGAAAAAGAATGAGGGAAAATGAACCACACCCAACTACCCTCCACTGATAAATTTTTTAGCTCTTATTAAATGCATGTGTGTAGACTTTTCGAGGCGTATTCAACTTCAAGAAAATAAAAAATTTGGTGATTAACTTAAAGGCCAAGAAAAAATTATGGAGTATAAGCTATTTAACTTAATTTGGAATTTAAGCATGGTAGATTTATACAATATGGCAATGACTGGTCTATGCAGACTAGGGATGTCAATGATTCGGTTCTGCTGGTTATTTTATAAAATTTATGCCATACCAATTTCTGTTATTCTATTATGTATAACCAAAACTACACTTTTCGAAACCGTCCCAATCATGTCGGTTTCTCTTCGGTATCGGTTAGGGGTGTTCAAAACCGAACCAAAACCGAAAATCGATCCGAAACCGAAGCTTAATGGCTTATTGGTATCGGGTTAACGGTTTAACGGACGGGGAACGGATTGAAATTTTTTTATTAACGACTTATCGGTTTGGGACCGGATTATTTAATTTTCTTAATGGATAATCCGTTAACCCGTTAAGGATTGACCGTGTAGTAATAGTAGTAGAATTTTTTTTATGGCATTACATGTTTTGGAAAATATTCGAAAAAATCCGTAGACCAAGTCTGGACACACAAAATCCTTTGCATTGCTACAAAAGCCAATCAGAAGGAAAGCATTGAGACATTACATTGAGAAAATTGCGGCCAAGAAGTTCAATGAGAGATTCTTCCACATCTCACCCAACTGAAACTCTGAGACTTAAATTGCAGCAGCAAAGGCATAGGCCAAATGGGATAACGTCCTAAAAATCTTCTGCAAACCACTGCTATTGATTCACTTTTATGGATTCTTAGTTTTAATCTATTGGTGTGCATTCCACTGCAACGACATCCACACTATAGATGTGCCTGAGAGAAAATGGAACTCCTTAGGACAGTCAAAAGTGGTGCATGACTTGGAGTGAGTTCAAGTAATTGCGAAGAAAGGAAAGAATGCGCTGATGCATAAAGATAATAGCTAAATTTGGTAAATTGCGTCATATGCAATATAGATTGAATTAGGCCGATAAACCGCCCGATAAGAGCTAAATCGATACCAATCCGCCCAATATCTTATCGGGTGGCTAGCGGATTAATACATCTAAAAGCCGATAACCGATAAAGCCAAACCGTTAAGAGTAAATAACTGCCCATTTTGCCCGATAAGCAGCCCTAGTATCGGTACGGTTCGGTAAATATTCGGTAATTTTTTTTAAATGTCATGTAAAAATCAATACTAGAAGTAGAATGCAATAACATACGTACTTTTATAGGACTTAGCAAAACTCTCTAGATATTTTTACAGTTTAAAAGGTGATAAATTAAGAAAATATAAAAGATGGCTAGAGTATAGATCCATCAACTATTCTACATCAGCGTAAAAGAAACTAAGCAAATACAAAAAATATAAATCACACTAGTGAAAAGATATTAACCAAGCTGGGTCTCAAGAATAAAGTCTATAGAAGATTGAATATTCAAAAAGATAAATCTAAATCATACGAAATGAAACATATTCAATACATTGTAGTTTTCTACTCATAATCGCAACAATACCTTGTGTTTTGCTAGTGAATATGCTGGAAATAATTTAGTTTCAATAGGAGTAGCATAATAGATTTGGGAATTAGGATTTTAAGTTTATTTACTTGTTGGCTTGTAACTATTTCATAATTCCAAGGTCCCGGAAATTTTTTAATGCCTTATCATTTTTAAACTTAATATATAAATATATTGTTCACATTGTAAATTTATTCGGTATGGTTCAGTATTTTTTCGGTTTATTTTTATAAAATAAAAAACTTACCCTAATTATAGGTTCGGTTATATATTTATATAAAAACCTAGGTTTTATTAAAAGAAACCTAAAAATCGGTTCGGTCGGTTTAGTCGGTTTTTAAATATCCATTGACACCCCTAACGGAGACTAAACTCATGTTGTTTGCTTAATATACTAGTTATGTGAAAATTATAATGTAGGAATTGTACGCAATGATTAAAAATGAAGTAATTGCTATGAGGTGATTAATTATGAAGATATTATTATATATCGAATTATTTAATCTTTAAATATTTTAATATCTGTGTTATTATTACTGTATTCTTATTCTATATTATAGCTCATATAAAATAATATTATACAACTTATCGCATAACTTAACGTTGGTCTTATTAGAAGAATTAACTTAAATAGCCGCTTATTCTATAGTTTAAAAAATTAAAAATAACTGTTAGATGTATAATATATGCATAATGGAGTATATACTATGTGTATAACTGTATACAATCAGTATATAATTTATGTATATTGATTAAGAAAAGTAAAAAATGAATCTGCTGATTATTTGTTTAGAGATTAATATCGGATACTAACGCTACATTAGTAATTGAGTTTTTTATGAGACCGATCATCGTGTTATCTTATGTGAGACTTTATCCTACTAATGCTATATTTAATTTTTTTTTTATACAACCAATTAAACATTGTATTATCTTATACCAAATTTTATGTTAGGATTAATCATTCTACTATCGTAAATAAAAAACAGTTAAACTTTTTTATAACAGTTATCTTCTAGATAGTAATATTTTACTTCGGCGATCGATTTTTTTTTAAAATTAATTTTATATTATGTTATAATATATGTTCTCTGTAATAACATTTTGCTACACGGGTCAAAAAAAATATTCCAAACAAACTATAATATTTTTAGCACTTAGACAGTGCTCAATCGGTCATTCCATAATCCACCCATTTATAAGCTCCATTTTGCGCTGTCCCTTTGTTAAGTTTTGGCTTCTTCACTATTCAAAAGCAAATTGAGAGCAGAACCTTTTGAACAAACCGAAGAAGCAGCGATCATAACAAGAATATCTTCTTCTGCTTCATGTGAGTTAAATAGTGTTCTTTTTTTTTTCTTCCTGTTGTTTTAAAGTTTTCTTGAAATATCTGGTTCTGTTTCATGTAGCTTAAAATTTGTTCCTTTTTTTTTTCTACTCTGATTTTTTAAAGGTTTTGTGGAAATTTTAAACATATGGGTCTGCTTCATCTGCATTAAAGATCTCTTTTTTTTGTCTGGTTGCTGTTTTTAAGGTTTCAGCTGCTTATTATCTAGTCGGACACTGTTAATGAAGTTCCCTTTCTCAATCTCAATTCCAGGGTTTTATGTAATTTGTTGCTGTTGTGTGTGTTTTTTGCAAGAAATTATCTCCCACTCTTGACATTTTCCTCTTCTTTTGGATTGGAGCTGAATTTTTCTGCTAATTATCTGTCTTTTCTGATCTATGTATCATGAAATGTCTAGAAATGCATACATTTCTGTAAATAAGTTTCATGTATTCCCATGGATTGCTTCAGAATTTAGTTGAATCCTGTCATATAGTTTTATAAGGAAAAGTTCCACCTTTAAAACATTATAACAGAAATCCCATCCCC